CCTTATTAAGTACAAACTTTTTGTCCGATACTTTGAAGTGATACAGTTGGCTGATGCCAAAAATAACTCATAAGGTGTTTTGTTTACTCAAGGCTTCGATTCGCAAACTTACGAATATAAAAGCAGTTCAAGGCTTCAGCCCAAAGGATTGGGGAAAATTACTTTGTAGTAACAAACATGGCCATTTTCAGTTTAAAGTGCGTTATGCGTTCACTCTCGATTCGGGGAGACATTGGTTGCAGAGAATTCTCGTTAATCGCGCATTCTTGAATATATTATTAAATTCTTCTCCGCGATATTCGAGACCGTTATCATCCGAAGATTTTTATTTTCTTTCCTAGACGATTTTCGACCGCAGCTTTGTATTTAATGAATGCTTTTTCACTTCATTTTTTTTCAAGAAAACTGACTTCGACATAACGCGATTGTCGTCTATTAAAGGAACAAAATAACGCGAACCACATGAGATGGGACTCTCATAGTCCCACACAAATTGAGTGAATCAAGTCAGTAATTCACACTTTGAATTTTGATTCTTTGAAAGGTTCACAGTTGTTTTACCTGGATACGACTGCAGTCTTTTAGAGATTCAGTGTTATTAAAATTTAAATTTCTAACATGTAATCAGACTTTCTTTTCAAATCAGACTCATTAAATGACCTAATAAGATGCCTTTACAAAATCACTTACCTGTGCTATGCAGCTGTTTCAGTGCTTGATGTATATAATAAAGATCACCATGACGAAGGCTGACCAGTATAGATCCATTTGGTTCTATTATTCTAGCATTGTTTGTAAAATCACTGAACGATTATTGCAGTAGCTTTAGATGGTGACAAATTACATTTAAATTCCGGAACAATAACACCTTTTTGAGGTAAGTTTAATTGGTTATTTCCGTTAGGTAGGTTAAAGGACATTCCAATTCCTGTAATTTTTTGCTTTTTGTCAACTGCTACTGTAGGATTGAATTTTCCGAGGGTGAAATTCTGAAAATAAAACTTCTGTATGCACATGTGAGATGTACAGCCACTATTAAGCACCATGAGGAGGTGTTCTGATAAGCATTTTTTACAGCTAAACTAATTGCTCTTCATATTAAAGCCATAATAGAACCTTGATTTCCCTTTGATTGCGATATTTTATCAGCTATTTTCTTTCTGCATTCAGATCCTTTGCCCAATTTTGAGCAGTTAATTACACTTCAGTTTCGAAAATTTCTTTCAGCTGGAAAAATTTTTTGAAATTACCTTCATTTCACTTTTTTTTGTTCTTGATTTCTTCTTTTATAATCAGTATAAATGCATTTTGTGAATCTTGAACTTTTTCCCTTTTCTTGCTTCCCTTCTTTAACATTTTGATTTTCAAAGATGGGATAGGTAACTGATCACTTATTCGATGGCGCATCTAAATTTCAAAATTTTCTGGAATACTAGAGCAGAGTAATAAATCATCAGCTATGTCATTTTAAGTTCAACTATTCGAAGAAATATTCAAATGTCAGACATCGTTCGGTCCGCCAATTTTTTAAATAAAAGCTTTTTAATAATGTAGCCTTCTTCGCAGGTCCTTCGGTTATATGGCTTTGAGTTTATCCACACAGCAGTGATGTACACAATGCTTATAGACACGTTCACTAGGCTAATAGCAGAATTATATCGCGCGAGCTTTGATCAGTTGGAGCCATTTCTTTCGTCTTCGGTTCTTCACAGGTTTTAGCGCTTACCTGTCACATAATCCCAATGGTCGTTTTTGAATCAATACTGCTTTATTTGTAATTTCCAACTGCAAATGCTCTTTCGAGCTTTTCTTATAGTAGTCAAATGCGACAATGTAAGTCTCTCACAGCCAAAAAAAAAAAAAAAAAAAAAAAAAGATGAGCGCTATAAATAGGCTTAACTGAACGATGATCAGCTCTTACTTTGATTAGATAACAGTTCTTGCACTGAATTAGGCTTAAGAGTTCAATGCTCGAAACTTCAAAATTCATTTTAAATAAGTATTTTGCTAATTAGGCACAGTTGAGACGTTCCTGGGCCCATACCATTAAGAAATAACTGAGCCTAAATAGATTTAATATCAATGAACATTTTTAATGACAGAGATTAAATTAAACATAGTGCGTACACAGCAAGAAAAAAGGCGAAGAAGAGTAAGAAGATATACATATACATACATTACGTAATAAACAGTTACGTCATCATCACCGCGCGGATAAACGCGAACGGCGCATGCGTCAGGAGAAGCTCTCTTAAGCTAAACGTCGTATTATAATTTATGATACAACAAAAACTTATAACAAGAACTAATTATAATTTTTTTAAAACTCAAAAGTAAAATTTTTTTAACCGTAAGAGGTGAATCATATCATCAGTGCAGTATTTGTGTTAAATAAGAATCAACATTCCTTTGATAATTTAAGTAGATAATCATGCAAATGACTACCAGCAAAATGTTTCCGCATTAGTATTTTTTATACGTTTAGAGTTCAAGTAGAGTTTGAGAAATAAATATCAATTTATGAAACAATGTCATAATTTGAAACATTATGTCGTTATCTTCGATTGGTTTTTTTAATTTGTATAGAGAATATGTCCAACATTTAATTATGATCTTGATATGAATGTATGTATAATAAAATAGGGTCATAATTTATGTTTTGTTTTCACTCAGCGCTGATTATCCCTTTTTCGTTTACGATAACTAAATGACATTCAGCATCAAAATTAAGTTTGAGACAAGGAATATAAATAACTGAATTCGAATTAGCGATATTTTTGTGATATTCTTTTATGTTGTTAAAACAGAGAATTCTTTCATTTTCTCTATTCAGCAGTTTGAAAATTCCTTGAGCAATTACACGCAGAAAATTTCAAAAATATAACAGAGGGTGATTCTTTAAAGTCTTAAGGTCATATTTGAGTGTTACAATAATTTATGAAATAAAACACTGTGCGAGCTTTAATATGCGAGCTTTCTGATGTATTAGAAATATTTACATGTAACTTTTAATACACAAGAAAATGGAAAACAAGAATAGGAAGAAAATAAAAAAAATTAATTTAGTAAGAAATGGTTATTAGTGCGGATTCATTTTACGTCGTTGAGTTCACTGCTTCTGCGTTTGAAATTCGTTAAATTTCAGTAGAATATATAAATGCGAAAAACATTTTGTTTCATTGAGATCTAAAATTATTTAGGCTTCTGATAAAAAGACTAAAGAGGCAGAAATGAATAATATAAATTTTTATGCCTTCCATTAGTATTCTACAGTCTTGAAACAATTGTCCCTTTTATTCAATCACAAGAATTAACAGAGAATTAACAGTCGACCCCACTTTGTCTTTACATAAGCCAACACATCTGGCTTAACTTAAACAAGTAATGTTGAACTTAAAATGAAATTAGACTAGCCTAACGTCTCGCAGGATAAAGTAAACGCGCAGGAAGGCTGGCTCTGGCTCGTGGAATCTGGCGAGTCAAGCCTAAAGCCTAGAAGCATTCCACGCCATAGAATCAAATCGTTAATAAGACATGGTAACAGCTTGGCCTCAAACAGACTTCTTTTCCTCTTAAACTGAATAAACGTGCGCTATCTCATTTACATTCTGGCATGAAAAGCATGGGTGAAAAGGAGAGCGACAGGAAAGCTGATTTAACTCAAAATTAACTATTAGTCAAAATAAATAAATTGATCCTCACAAGTTGATAGATAGTTACTCTTTAGAGGCAGAAAATTACCTGAAAGCTATTTCTATATTTAAGGAGCGTTTCGGCAACAGGGAAAGTTTAATTGAATATATGTGAGGGAGTTACTAAAATAAATTATCCAAAATGCACGCTTGCAAAAGAAGGATAAGTTACCTCTAATGTTACTATTTGACAAAATCGAACTGTGCTTCAGATCTCCAGACTCTGTAGACTTAACCATGAATACTTATGCGTCCTCCTTACACCCCATGATCGAGTCCTGTCTGTCAGCTGAGTTGCTTCGGGTACGGCAGAGAAGCATTCTGTTCAGTAATGCAGGATCATGTCTTTCAAATCTCCTGGCATTTTTGCGTAAAGAGCATAAAAGGAGAGCAAAGAGTCAAACTTACTAAGTCTGGATTCGAACGTTCTCCTACTTCACGCCGTAAGCATCCGGAAGATGCAAAATTTAGTAGATGCAAAAACCCCATCGCGAGTACAGCAAGTTTACTTCCTAGCAAGGAACAAAAATTTGTTTTTCTTTTTACGGGAAAACTCACGAAAACAAAAAATATTTTGCAGCTCGATCTAATTCCTTAAGGGAAAAGACAGGAAAAAAGGAAAACCTAAAATAAACAATGAATTTCACATACGGGGGTAAATTCTGGAAGAATGCATTGCTTTGGAAGGACAATTAGATTATTCTCTAAACATTATGAAATCATTTATAAAATCCATACACTGCTGATATATAATTCCTAAGTTTTTAAAATAAATTTATAAATATTTACGGCCAAGCAGAAACATAATTTCGGCTTTTTAAAGATGTACAATTATATCGTCTTCTACATAAATCATTACAATTTCGTTCTGCATTAACGAACTAAAATTTATTTTTAGGATACTCACTTGGTACTTACCCTGACTATATCTCCAATCAGCGACGCATTAAACATATTGTCTAACTTCACGTCTTCGTTCTCCAGAATATCCTACGAGAATGAAAATTCGGAAGTTATTTAACACACTCAGCTGGTTTATTTCAGTAAAGTTTATTGATCAAAATACTCCAGTGACTCATTTTATACTACTGAAAAAGATTTCAAGTTGCCCGTAAAAGGAGTTTCATATATCTTATCTCTTACAATAAACAAGGAACAAATAGTTAAAGTTTTATAGTACAATACACTCCCGATTATTCGCGGATTTGGGTGGCGCGGCCGCCGCGGATAACAAAAATCGCGGATAATCCGAAAAAAGCTAAAAACGGGTATAGCAAAAGAGAAAAAAAGTCATTCCAACTTTGAAAAATCGTTTTATGTACAATAAAACGTGAAATAAACAGCAGAAAATGTTTAACTAACGCTTAATATTTTAGTATATCACTCAAAAGTAATCTAAAATGCATTTTGTTAATGAAAACAGAAAAGTGCTTTGTACTTACGAGAGGCGTCAAGAATTTCACAGAAAAATTAATACATATGTACTGTTTTAGTACTGTAATGCATTATGTAATTACGAAACATAACTGTAAAACTACAACTTTTTGAAGAAATCAGTCATTGCTTCTTGTTTTGGAAACATTTTCTCTTGATCCGAGATTGCATTTTTCGTAGCATAAGTTTCTCGGCCAACTCCGCGTCGTCTTGTTCTTCCAAATAGCTCAGTAGTCCGTCGACTTGTTGCAAAGCCGCTTCGTGTATGTGTGATTATGGCAAAGCCTCGAGGGCGATCTGCCTAAGGGGAGGGATGCCTTCGTGGAGGACTTTCTAAGGGAAACTGGCTCGTATACACGTTATACACGAGGAAAAGCACGAAAACTCCCATTCAGCCAGCCCGTTCGCGGGATTCGAACCTCGGACCGAACTACAAGTGTTCAGCGACTTTACCGCTCGCCCGCTGATGGGCCGCCGCTTCGTGAGTCTTCCGCATCTGCACAATAGGCTCTTCTTCGCCTTCACTTCGCTTTCCTTCATTCTCGGTCTCTCCTCTTGCTTTCTTCACAATTTCGTCATCTGTCAAGCGTTCGAAGCCAGGTTTGTTGACGTCACACTCCAACTACTCGTTAATGTTTTCAGCATCGACGTTCTCACCACCCGTAACTGTTTTCACCATATCGGCAAGAGATCCCGTGGGCGTGTCTACATCTTCATTCCCTTCTACAAAACTCAAAGGGGTTGTTGTTAGGTTGTTGTTGCCTTCAACATTAGGCATGAGTTTTCTCCATGATTTTATGAGGGTTGACGGTTTCACCGAGTTCCATGCAGATGCAATATCGTAGATGCTGTCCAAGATTGTGTTGTGTTTCCAAAACTCTTTCAGATCATAACCTTCTTAAATTTTGGTCACTAGCAGCTTGATTCGGTATGTTCTCTTCATTGTTGCAATGACTCCTTGGTCCATGGGTTGGATTAGCGCAGCAACGTTTGGCTGAGAAACATTGTAAAAAATTGTCCATCAGAAGCACGCTTGTTGCTGGGTGAGAAGGTACTTTGTCGATCAATAGCACAGTTTTTTCAGGCAGGTTTTTCGATTTAAAGTGTTTACGCACTTGAAGAACAAAGATTTTTTCGAACAATTCTTGAAAAATGTTTCGGTTCATCCATCTTTTTTTTTTCTTTTTCTTTTTTCTTTTTTTGTTTAAAATAATCAACGGACAAATTTTCTATCCTTGTGCCTTTGAAAGATCTCGGTTTTTTTAACTTTCCAATGACAACAAGTATATGTTTATGTCCGCCGGGTAGTGTTACTGCAAGACATAGCAGTGATCCTTTCCTTGCTGCTTTTATAACCCGCCGCTTAACTTTCTTTTTCAAATGCTAAAGTGCGAGTGGGAAGACAATTCCACAAAATTCCCGATTCGTCGGCATTGTAAATTTGTTCAAAAGGTAGCTCTTCTTTTATAACAAATTCTTCAAATTCATGGTGGAAATAATCGGCTGCTTGCTGGTCACCATTAAGGTTCTTCCCATGAAGTCCAAATTCTCGAATTCCATGTCGCTGCTTAAAACGAGTCAACCAGCCAGAAGACGTATCAAAATTTCCTTTCAGGCCTAACAACTCAAAAAAGGTTTTTGCCTTCGCCGCAATGGTGGGGCCATTTACAGGAGTACCCTCTTTTCGAACTTGAGCTAACCACTCTGCCAATGCCATGTCTAGCTCATCAAAGGTAGAACCCTTTATAGTTTTTTGCGTTTTAATTGCGGAAGCACTGTCCGACATTGATGCAAAGTTCACCAGTTTGTCTTTTTGCTTTAGAATATCACGCACTGTTGTTTCGGCGAATCCGTAATCCAATTTTATCTGCTGCCTTGTAGCGCCGTTTGCTACTTTGGAAATTAATTCTAGTTTTTGCGCAATCGTCAACGCAACCTTCTTTCGTTTTCCTGACATTTTAAATCGGTAATGAAAAACACAAAACCGAAAAGCACAAGCACTGAACACAATAAAAGATAAGAAATTAAATTCGACCGGTTCGCAAACACTATCAGGCTTAAAGTAACAATGGCGAAAGCGAAGAAGTGGACGTGTCAGTAAGATTAAGACGAGAGAGGGCGGTGGAGCGGACACTGCAAGGTTGAGTAAGAAATCACTTACTCATCAGAGGGGAAGGTTCCGAGAAGGCCGAGAGAATGGTTCCGAGAAGGCCTGGATATTTTTGCCATAAATAAGCACGATGTCAGAAAATTTAAATTTTCGCTCAGTTTTGTGAACATTTTTTATTTTTATTTGCTTTACGCTTGTTAAAAAAAAAAAAAAAAAAAAAAAAAAAAAAAAAAAATTGTGCGGCAGGCGCGGATAATCGGGAGTCTACTGTATTGTAATGCAAGGAGGAATTCAAGCGCATTCGAATAGCCTACATGAAATGAGTAAACTGAGGCTTTTCATAAAAGATTTCTATTAGTTTTCTGTCAAGTTAAATGATAAATGGTTTTCTTTTGGAGCTAAGCAAAAAAAGGCTTCTTTTTACTGTTATGTACTCCGCGCTGTCAAAGTTTGCTCCTCAGAATCTTGTAGAGTCATTAGGTTAATTGGAAGCAGAAAAGATGAAAAATATGCAACCGCCTTCGCCGGGAATAGAACCACGGACGTCTGGAATACTGGCCCAGCGGGCTACCGTTACACCACGAAGGCACGCTAGGGAAGTGGGAGAAATACCATATATACTTCCCTTTTTAAAGGGCGACTAGGGTTTTAGGGGACCTAGTCGCCAAATCCTGGGTGTGGATAAATAACTAATCATTAAATAAATAACTAATCAATAAATAACTAATCATTTTCACATATGCAAAGATTACATTCTCGCATACGTAACTAATCATTGTTACGTACATAATGCATTAGAATATATTTAATTATATTTCTTTCAATCAGTATGATCAATACTCAATCAGCGTAGCATTCAATCAGATATTAAGTAGTTAAAAGAAATATATTGATATTAATTTTCTTACGCATATCCTTTATTTGAAAGCAGAAATCACATTATTACCATGGAGATAGTCCGAATGTCAGTTTAAGAGATTAAATGCAATATGCAGTATAGCATGTCGTTTGGAAATTTTGCCAACAGTTTAACGCGTACTGTTAATTGAAAACATTCACTTGACGGAGTGGTAATTAGATTTGAGATGAAATCGGATAAACTTTCAATAGCATTTATACTGATTCTAAGTATTTATTTCGAAATGAGGTAACAAATCAAGTAGTTTATTCAGAAAATTCTGAAGAATGTATTTATTTATATTAAATAGCTAACGGAGTGCTTATGATAACGAACTGTCGTCATTTCTTAAAATGTTCATTTCTGGTTTATGGCAGTACAACGATGTACAATAACGTAATTATTTTATCAATACTTCTTTCGATTGTCAAAATGAACCATAATTATTTTATTTTCATGTTATTTAGTTCTCTAACACATTTATAAAAAAAGTAATATACTTTTCATTTGCTATTCAAAAGAATTTTGCGCCACAGATTTGTGGTCTCTCTTTCAAATATTTTAAAATTAAAACCAGTATCTAAAAATGACATTAACATACACGAATGAGCAACTGAAACGAAGGAATGAAAATGCAAATACATGTAATGATGAGAAAAAGTATTAAAAAATTTAAGTGAGCATAATTTTGTTGCTAGAGCATTACTCTATTACAGCTGAAATTTATCTCAAAATACTTAACGTTGAAAATTGATTTATAATAGAATTTAAAACAAATCCATTAATGAAACGATATGAATCATACTGAATCCTCTAACAAATATTTAACATTTTCAAAAACACAAAAATTCTTACTCAACACGAAGAAGGATTTCAGTATCAATTATTAATTATTTCAACTATTCAACCTTCTCGAAGAATTTCAAATTGCAAAATTTAATACTTTCCTTAAAAATTAATTAAACTTTAGCTTGCTTATAATGATTAATATATTAAGCTTGATTTTTAAAATTTTAGATAACAGTGAGAAACAATATTCAGAGGTTAACGAAAGAAGTGAATATTTACCTTGAGACTTCCCCTGGAACAGTATTCCGTCACAATACAGATGTTGGGAGGGTCAATGCAAGCCCCAATGAAAGGATTTAAATTATCGTGACGTAAATCACGCATCTGGAAGAAAAAACGAAAGAAAAGTAAATGAGAATCCCGTTTCAAAAAAATTAATTATTGAAATGTGTTTTATCTTTTTAGGTTCAAGTTACGCTCTTCACGAAACGCTTGTCACCAAAAATAATTACAGTAAAATCTTTTTAGCACATTTACCCATAATTCTATACGAATTTGGGCTTTTAACTTGGTAACGACTTCACAAAAATTTGCTGACTTCAATTGCTATTTGTAATTATGTTCTAAAAATACTGCTCACTTTCAGGAATGGGTCATTTTAGAAAGGCGTTGAAAAGTGTTCATAAAATTTAGAAAATGCAGTGAGACATATCTTTGCATTTCATAATACCATTAATGCATCATTTTAAAACTCATTCTTTTCATTTACGCAATGAAAAATAAAAATTTAAGATTTTTGTATGTATTCAGAATTAAACTGAAACGTTTAAGTAACCAATAGTTAATAAAACAACAATATGTTGGTCTGCTGGGAATTAAAGTAAGTTCACCATTATTAATCTAACATAAAATAATTGAATCTTTCTCTTCTCAAATCCGTCTCTGTCCTGCTAATTTGTAAACTGTTGTTTATCTCAAGCTGCATTAATATAATATTTAAAATATTTATGTGAAACTATTCAACATCGAGCGTATGAGTTCTCTGCATTTATATTGCTTAAATGTCATTGCCCTTATTCAACAAAAGTATGTATCTAAACCATGATGACTATAAGGCATACAGATAATCCTCTTCTTTCCACGTCATTACGTTCAGTTATTACATAAACATATAGTTATCACAACAATCAGGTATCACATAAGCATATAGAGAGGATGCTTTGAAGATTGAGAGACTAACGACATCTCGATTGCTCGCAAAAATTTTCCTTTAATTTTAAGAACTGAATAAAATAAGATAGGCCCTGAGATTACGACAGTTTTTGTCGCATGATAACTTTTAATAAAAACTTTTAAAACTGTCTTGAGTTTAAAGAAAATATCAACAAGAAAAATGACTACAAGCAACATATTAATTAAACAACAAATAAAGCAAGAAAGAGGGAGGAGTTTACTTTTCTCACAAAGTCAATATTATCCAAGATATTATTAATAGCAATTATGGGGTTCGTAAATAAGAAGTTCTATAGAGATCAACATATGCGAAGACTTCGAATGCACGTATCTAAAAATTACTATTGTAAAAATTAAATTAATAATTGTAGAATTGCTAAAATTTGGAATATTGAATATTGTATTGAATAATATTCAGTTTTTTACTACCCGAAATATGGATTTAAGTCTTCATCTGAAATGGCCTAAAGTTTATGAATTTTGGTAACTTTTTGTCGGTATATTTTGCATATCACGGAGCAGTTTGGGTTCAAAAAAATCTTCAGTAGGTTAATGACCAATCGCTGAAAATTTCTTTGCATCGAGAGCATGCAATAAAATGTTTACTCAAATAAATTAAAAATTTGTTTGTTTGTTTACTCAAATGTGTAATAAACTATAATTATCATAGTTTGAAGGCGCATTTTATTTTATTTATTTATGGAAATGGAACTGTAAGCCTTTCGGAAGATATTTCGCCCTTCGAATAATTCGACAATTTTGCATTTTTCAGTTTCACGATTTTGCTCGTAAAGCAAATAAAACAGCACTTTTATTGCTTTCCTTCGTTTTGTTTTACATTTTACACTCTTTTTGGAGTGCAGGCAGAAAACGCTTTGGCTATACCAATGCCGCTGGATCGTGTATGTGTGTTATCATACGTTTATTTGCAGGTGACTAAACAATGAATTTTTCACATTTAAAACAATGCACAAGCTTTTTCTGCGAACCTTTCGAACAGAAGAGTATATGAAGTATTTGCTTTTTATCCCTCGCCAAATTTTATACATATGCATGGGAGGTAATATTTTCGATCCAAATTTTTGATCCGATACTGAGTTTTCAGTGGTGGTGGTAGTGGTGTTACGAAAATATGGCTAAGCACACTAGGGCTATCTGCCTAAGGGGAGGGATGCCTTCGTGGAGGACTTTCTAAGGAAAACTGGCTCGTATGCACGGTACACATGGGAAAAACCACGAAAACGCCCATGCAGCCAGCCCGTTCGCGGGATTCGAACCTCGGACCGAACTACCAGTGTTCAGCGATTTTACCGCTAGGCTGCTGGTGGTCCGAGTTTTCAGTGAATGAGCACGAATGGAGGGTCCCCAAAAATATTTTTACTATTTTTACAATGATGTTATTCCGTCTGTGTTCGTCTGGGTGTATGTGTTTGACGGTTTTTTTCGCCCATGATAAAACGATGTCTATTTTCATTATTCAGTTTTCTGCTTTTATATAAACAGCAGATTAGTTATTGGGTAAAACTAGACAACCAGGCGTACCAGCAGCCGAGCGGTAAAGTCGCTGAACACTAGTTCGGTCCGAGGTTCGAATCCCTCGAACGGGCTGGCTGCATGGGCGTTTTCGTGGTTTTATCCCATGTGCAACGTGTGTACGAGCCAGTTTTGCTTAGAAAGTCCTCCACGAAGGCATCCCTCCCCTTAGGCAGATAACCCTCGAGGCTTTGCCATAATCACACACACACGCAAAACTAGACAACCTGGAAGTGGTACTTGATGCCCATAACATTTTTAATGGACATTCGCAAGTGGTACTTTACTTGAAGTCCAGCCAGGTTTCCAGCAATCAGTATAACATATTGTTGCATATATAAGACTTAAAATATTGTTACAGTTAAATAAGTGTTGTTTACTGATACCTAAATATCGTGAGGATATATATGTAGATCAAAATGAATTTAGATTTCTTGATACTATAAAAATAACACAGAAAAATTTAATTATGGTATTTATTTTAAAGTATATTTTAAATATATTATAAATACTCAGATTTCTTTAATTAAAAACCAATTAAATTATATGATATTCAATCGCCCTGTAAAATACAATTTTTAATAAAGGTGAAAACATTTTATTATTTTGGTATAAATTTAGAAAACCCAGTTTGTATACATGGAAATTATATTTAATAAAATATAATCCGAAATTTCGTATACGATAGCTTTCTATTTATTGGAAAAACAAATTAAATTTATTTACAAACCATCAACCGGAAGTCATACTTTACTACTACTTTGACACTTAGAAATTTAAGACGTGAAAATGGCTGGAAGTCATGTCCTGGCCACATCAGATTTATTAACTAAGATTTCCAGAAAACTAGAAGGAAGCTTTACGTTTTCTTTTGATCCGCAGCTATTTTTGGAGATTAAATACAATTGCATTATATAGCTTATAAATTTGATTGCTGTTGTACATCAAACAAAATTATAGCGGTATTAATAAATAAAGTAGATAAAAATACAGCTTTGATATAAATCTCATCTAGAAATAATTTGAAATATATGCGCTTGATAATGTGGGATGCAGAAATAAAATCCAGAAGATACAAAAGAATGCTTATTCAAAATGACTTTTCTACCTTCCCCAAATGATCTATCTTTTCAAAGTAAACAGATAAAATGTCCTTTAAAAGTCAGTTTTCATCTTCGTTGTCACGAAGAAGGTACTTGACATGTGAACGCGTCAGGAAAGGGGTGGTTCACTTTGTTACTTTTGTTTATCTAGCATTTGATGCTTTTTAAGCTTTTTTTCTCCCCTGAATTTCCTTAATTTTGTGAAATCTTTATACGCAAGTACTTTATGCAACATTGCCAAAATTATACTAATACCTTGACCGTAATAAAATTTTGCCAAATATTACAAATAAATTTTGACTGATCTTCAGTTTTTAAACCTACTTTCAGTTTTTTTAGTTTGATTTGCTTATTTCAACAAAAAAGTTTACTGAAATCGTGTGATTTCACTGTTGATTGAGAGTTTGCAAAAAGGTATAAATGAAAACACAGTTTATGATACCTTTTACAGGATTTATTTTAATGCAACTTTACAAAATTTAATATCACTTAGGCACTTTTTTAAAATGTTTTCTTGTCAAAAATTCCTGTGCTCCGGATATTTTTGTCAAGTTCAGTTATTTTCATTTTTATAGGTACTTATTTTTTATTTCAATGAACTCCAAAAGGATGGTTACAAAGAATGGTGAAATTCTTTAATCAAATATAATAATACCCATTAACAAATAATTAAAAAAAAGTATGGGATGGTAAAACCTAAAATCTCACCCAGAGCTCTATTTTGCTCCAATTATGTGCTGTTTACTGCTATTATTCTTCAACAATGAAAAAACACCTAAAATTTGTTTGCATTGTCATTTAAATCTGCAAAGCGGATTTGTCGAAGAAGAAGATTTTTCTAGCTTAAATTGCGGCGGAGAGCTCGCCCCTCTCAGAAATAAGCTAAAACCAGAGACTTAAAGCTCTAGGTGCGATTTAAATCATTGCACTTTCTTTTGGCCGAGTTTCTGGACAGTATTTCGGTATATAGCACAGTATATAGTTAGCACAGCGATACAATAGTTTTCACTGTGCTAACTGGTATTCCTGAAATCAAATCTCGAATCTATCGCTTAGTCTTTACAGATGTTTTCGAAATCCTTAATTTTTAATTTTAAATATAAATATTCATCGCAGAAAACCCGCTCGTGCCGTTCTTGTAGCTTTTTAATCAATATAAAGACGGTAGATTTTTCTTTTAAGATCATCGTTGGAGAATTTTATCTAGCAGCTGCGGCAAATAATTACTCGCGAGAAATAGTTTTGAAACGTTTTTATCTCTTGTGGGGTTTTACTTACTCTGGTAATATTAATTAGTCTAAAAACCCTAAAAGAAACGAGGCTAACTCTCACTATGTCTGAAGCAACTACAAAGTCGTATGGAGGTTTTAAATAACCTACTTCATTCATCTCACAGAATTTGAACATGAATGCACCCTTGCGTTAGTAATATCAGCAACAGCTCGTGGTGATGCAACTAAAGAAAAAGTCAAATTCAAGTTAAAAGTTGAACAGTAGTAAAACACTACGCAATTT